TCTCAAAACAGGACACACTTTCAATTCCACAGAAACTAAAATCTTAAAATCGGAATGCGATACAAGGAAGCGGGAACTTTACAAAACAATTGAAATAATCAATAATGTAAACAGCATTAATTTTAAAACATACAATAAGCATTTAAGCATTATTTACCATTTCATTCTGACTTAATTAGATTTCATTTATATATTTATAAAAAAAAATAAAGTAAGATAAGTGTACTTTTGTTGGTTGTCTCCAGGCAGAATCAAACATTCACCTTTGCAAATTGTTCAGTCGACATGACCTCTCAGCATGGAGAGACCAGAAAATTTTATTTTTATATTTCAAATGCGACAAAATTTTAGCGTGTGACCAAAAAAAAATTATTTGTGTAGATACATGTGTTTTGGATTGTTTTTGTGCTGACGTGGAATTGTGTCTGACTTAATTCATGTAAGTGAAATCTCCGCTCTTGAATGATTTTTAACCTTGGTAGATGTATTAGGAGTTTGTAAATAATTCTCGCAACGTCTTCAAGAAGAATAGGTCTGTTAGAGTCTTTACAGTATCTGTAACCCTGAGGAAGAGAGCAGAGCACTGCCGAAACGTTGGAAAATAAAGAAGAGCATCTAACTTAAACACAAATTTCCCAATTAGGACGACATCCCCCAGAATTCATAAACTAACAATATAAACAAACATCGTCTAAGAACGTTTCATGGCGCAAATGAGCTTCAAGCTTCTCACAAGGGAAGTTATTTTGAAAATTCATAGAAGCGCTTTTACAATACGAGGATATCCGAACAATAAATGTTTGAAAAGCTCCCGCAGTTACATTGAAAACGTTTGAAAGTACGCACCAAACAAGAGGGATCAGTTGGGAGTTTTCTGATAAATGAAGCAAAGTTTTCCCTATTTGACGGTATCCACATTATTTGATCGTGCAGTTGAAGAATATTTCGCTTTAGAAGCACATAAAATAAATTGTTATATTGTTGTGCGATTGATTCATTCTCACCCACCACCCGTACCCGTAGATGTAGCTATGAAGTATTGTAGTAAGTATGCATTGGATCGCATTCGGCTGTTCTGGAACAGAAACTAATTTTGTTTTGTTTCAGCCCGTATACACTTATCGCAAATTTTTAAAAATGTCCATTTTGTGAACAACACTTGTCCTCAATGTGGGAAACAGTTCAAAAGAAAAGACCACGTCCAAAGACACTATCTGGAGTTGCATATGGCCATCAAGAATTTTGCTCATTTCACCTGCTCCAGGTGCAAGAAAGTGTTCAAGCGCAAGTACATGATGGAACACCATGAGAAGAAATGTTTTGATGAAATAAATCTGCGTTGTTTCAAGTGTTCGCAAGTGTTCGACTCGACGGAGAAATGGAAACTGCACCTGCGACGCGCTCATAACTATAACATGGTTCCCGTCTAGACAAGCAAATGTTGTACAACTGTGCCTTAATGCAACTGTAACGAGACTGTATAGAATAATATGCTAGATATAAGGGGGGCTGTGGGAAAAGTTAATGATTTCAGAAGTGTATTAGTAGAACAAAGTGGCACATCAGTGTTATTCAAAGTATAACGCCGGAAAATTGTCTCTAAAATAATCCTTTTTTGCATAAGTAGGTGCCAACGGGGGGTACATTTCAAAATCTTTTTATAACTTACAGGATTATAACCTGAACTCCATTGAACTTTTGGCCAATCGATCCTTTCCATCGATCTCCGAAATCATCCACTTCCGTCGGTAGTTTAGTTCTTTAGTTGTTTAGTTTCTGCTAACCATCATAATTTAGACTGATTGAAAGTATTTACTTATATTAGTTCTTTGACTTGAATAAACATTATTTTACGCACCACGGACTTACTCTTGCACATAACCTTGGGTGGCTTTAAGAACACTCCAAAGAGGCGTCGCTTTTTTTATTAATGCAACGTTTTCCAGCAGCGCTATCCCGACTGCAACGCCACACGTGTTATTTATGCCAGAAAAGCTACAAATATAGCCGGCATTTGACCGCCCATCTGAAGTACGAATGCGGAAGGGTGCCCGGTTTTACGTGCAATCAATGCGGCAAGAAGTTCCATTACAACTACACGTTAAATGCCCATAGAAGGAGGGTGCATCTAGCGGAGCGCAAAAGGAGCCTCTGAAAACGGGTTTAAGTCCTTAGGTCTAGTTTATGCTCAATTTGGGTTCACTTCTGTTTAAGTTTGTTACCAATGTTTTCACTAAATAGACTAAATACATCATATCCACCCCAGGTTTGATGTGAAAAGCCTAAAAATTCATTGTTTTTTTGGTCAGGTTTTACTATGGCGTTTGTACTGTTGAGAAATGAGAAATATAAATCGGTTTCTGGGAAATTATCTGGACCATCGACGTACTAACCACCAATCCTTTTAGTTAACGTTTGCTAATTCTATCTAATTTTTCAGTAAAATACAAGTGCCAATCCTGCCTGAAAAATTACAAAACATCACAAACGTTGGCACGACATCAGAAATATGAATGTGGCAGAACGAAAATGTTCGCTTGCCCATTTGTAGGGTGTTTCTTCCGAAGCAAGCGCAAAGACAATCTGAAGTTACATGCAAGAAAACATCGGGTTAAATAAACTTCTTATTTGACGTTTTGCTGTTTTTCTTTCACTAGTAGAATGTAGTTTTCTGAGTTTGTCTTAGTAGGGAAACTAGTTGGCGCCTTCGGCTCCCTCGCTCTATTTACTAACGATTTTTGTTTGTTTTAGCTGAAATATGCATTGGCAAAGCGCGATTTAAGATGAATTTATGCCAGTACCAGTTTTTCGCATGAAACTTGCCCTTAGTTTCCTGCAACTTTCATATAACTACTTTAATATGATGTATTCAATATACCAAGTTTACCAACTAGACCAAGATAATTATAATTTTTTATATAATTTTTTATTAATACTCTTAACCTTAATGTACATACATACAAACGACGTTTTCGGATTTTCATCGACTACCTACAATCAATACATTTTTAGGCAATCGATGCTTTATAACGGCAGATGAAGAGCTGGCACGTAAAACCCTCGAGTTGATCAACAGCGGCATTTCCATCCGAAAGGCCGCTTCGATTTTGCAGATTTCCAAAAGCTCAGTGCATACCATTGTGAAAAAGTTCCGCGAAGGAGCTGGACTGCACTTTTTAAACGCTCTTGGAAAAACGCGACGAAAGTTCCAAAATAGCGCTGACGATTCTTCGCTCGATCTGGACCCGTTTTTTGAGGCCGCAAGAACGCGAGCTAATCAGGAGATGAACTGGCCGGATGACGATGAGGTGATTTGCCAGAAGCTATATTTTAATTCGGACAGTGGGCAATCAAAGAATCTCTAGAATTTAATTAATAAAAAATTTGAACAGATTTCAGAAACGCTCAAAACATTGTGAATCAAAAAAGCAATTTTCTACACATGTTTTTGTTATCATTATTATCAATAACGATTGTTAGAATACATATTTCTTAATTTTTATAGCATTGTTAGTTTGACTTTTTTCAATTACCCCCTCATCGATTTTAGTTTAGGATGTTTCGTTCGTGTAAAGTGAATTACATGCGTAGAGCAAGGAAGGTGCATGCATCAGAAAGAGAGAGAGTATGAGCAATACCCTCTTCTCTCTCTTTTCAGCACAAGCATTGATGATCTTCCGCTTGTGAGGATATTGACGCCCCCTACAACAGCTTGGGTATTGCCTGGATCAAGCCAAGCAAATTTAAATAATACCAAAGTTACCCAAACTAACTTAACCTTTTATAGCTTGATGACTATGATGAAAACTGACTACTTTTTGTCGACTGTTGATCGTAAGCGAAATCTGTTCAGCAAATCAACCAAATATCTGCCTTAAATACTTGTAAACGGTATAAAGAGTTATTATCCGTAGAGCGAAATTTCATTCTCTAAAGTGGTCGAAAATTTAACCAGTGTTTCTTTTATTSTAGTGAGTATGCACGTATCAGTTGTGGTCCTCAAATACATTGTTTTTGTGGGTTGTATCATTCTTTTGAGATAAGTTTTATACATAACAAAGTTTATTGCATGTTTAAAGATATAATTACTTATTAAATATGTGGCAACTCCCAAGTTTTCAATAGATTTATTACAAATTTCAATTTAACTTTGAAAATGTAAAAAAACCTACAGTTTAGGAGTAATTTGGCAATTGAACTCATAGCTAATTTTTGTAGCAGAAAAAGAAAACGACCGGCCCCTATCACTTCAAGAAAAAATAAAAAAAGTGAATATACGAAGAGTTAATGTTAATYATGCGGCGAGAAAGGCAGATGTAGGAAAACATTTGCCTACCAAAGGCACAAGTAGAAGATGCGCTCATTGCAGCAGTTCAAAACGTTGTAAGAGGACACATATTGTATGCCGAAAGTGCAATGTGGCCTTGTGCTTGAATTGTTTTGCACCTTTTCATGAACTATAATGACTACCAAAAAAAAATATTGAACAAAAAAGTGTTTACAATATATGGTTGATAATTTAACCAGTGATCATATGCTGATATTACTGACACTTAACAGTCACTGGTTGAAAAATCAACCATCCCCACTCCCCATAGTATAAAAGTAAAACAAATATCAGATAAGAAAAAGTACTTCATTTCATCTAGTTTTCATGTTTATAAAGTAAATTTGCAAATATCAGGAAAAAAGTACTGCCCTATAAAGGGTTAAATTAACTCAAGCCAACCCAAACTGACGGTAACTAACTCAATGTTTAACGTGACTTACATGCGTGGAACAGGGAAGGCACTCGAATGCTTGCATCAGAACGAGAGGTGGACATTATCCTCCTTCTCTTTCTAGTACGAAGCATTCATGCTCCTCCCTTGTTCCACCCACATATTCAATGGTGCTTGCGATACTATTGACGCGAAATTAAGCCAGTTACTCCGGAGTATTTTAGAAAAGTGTAAGTTTGGCCCTGGACTAGTTTCCCGTTTTATTCACTGCACATTTTTTTAGCAAGGGAATTCCGGTGCCAGATGTGCTTCAAAGGCTACTCAGTGAAAAGGTCTCTCTGGCGGCATCAAAAGTACGAATGCTGCAGAATATCGAAGCCTTTTTCCTGCGCCTTTCCCAGATGCTCTTATAAAACCACTCGGAAGTACATTTTGGCTAACCATTTGAGACTCAAGCACCACATCATGGATAGTGGCTAGTTCAATACAAAGCAGGGACAACCAGTGGTGCCAAATCCAGGCCATTCCAGTCAACTGCGCTAGTTGATTCTGTGATTTTTTTTTAAATTTTTGTGATATTTAATTTATTGTGTTTTGTGACCGGAAACAAACTGTAGGTATTTTCAGTCTTTTGTGATGTTCAGATATTTCCAACAGCAACTTGCATCTAGTCAGTGTATCTAGTAATATAAAAAAATTTAACTCCATGCAGAGGATTTTCCGGAGTCACGTCAATGAATTGTTTTTTCCTTGAAAGTATGTTTGCTATCGAGAAAGTGATGGCAGAATTCGTTCAGTTCCAGATGCCGAAAGGCACCAGTGTTCCACTTGCAAGAAAACATACAAGTTTAAAAGTGGCTTAAGTCAGCATGCTCGCTACGAATGTGGAAAAACGCCCCAATTTGCCTGCCCTGTTTGCAACTATCGCTCATGTTTTCGTCAGAATATCAACGCTCACTTAAAGAGGCGACATTCGAAAAATGCGTTATAAATTCCCAGAAGAATTCGATTTATTCGCCAAGTTTTATCGTTTTAGTAGCTTTTTAGCCATGATGTTGATGATGATAGATTCGATAATGGTGAAGAACCAGAGGTGAGTCCAAGAGCAGTTGAAAACTGAAGTTTTCTAGCCGCGTAAAGATACTGAGCGATTTATTTGTAGATTTTCCATATGTTTGCAAATGCGGCAACAAGTACAAATACATCAAAGGCCTGAAGGAACATCAAAAGTGGTCTTGCGGTAGAAAAAGAACATGCCCATGCCCTTATTGTTCATACGTGGCTCGATGGAAATCCAACCTAACAAGTCATATCAAGCGGAAACATCCGGACGTGGTTTTTTAGTCATGGTTGATTAAAGTCGGTTTCATTCGTTATCTAAGTGTTTTATTCGGGTTCCTAATTATTTTTTAGTGTTACAGATGAAAATTAGGGTTTTTAATTGTTTTTGATTACGGTGTTGTGAGCGTTTTTATTCCCAACTGAATGAAGGATTGAATTGAATAGTCTTTGTTTGCCAAAAAAACACGGTCGTGCACT